ATAACTAACACACAGACCAAGAATGCAAACAAAAAATGACAGGAATCAATACGTATCTTTCATTAATAACTTTAAATATAAATGTACTGAACTCCTCAATCAAAAGACACAGACTAGTGGAATGGATTAAGAAACAAAACCCAACTTTTTGTTGTCTGCAATAAAACCATCTCACTTTTAAGGCCAGGCACCACCTTAAGGTGAAAGGATGGAAAAAAATACTCCAAGCGAATGGTACTAAGATGAAAGCAGGAGTTGCAATTCTAATATCGGGCAAAATAGACTTCAAACTAAAACTAATCAGAAGAGATAAAGAGGGCCACTTTGTTCTGCTCAAAGGAACAATAAACCAAGAAGATATTACAATCATGAATATATATTCTCCAAATTCTGGTGCACCCAACTTCATAAAAACAGTACTACAGGACTTTAAGACCCAGATTAATCCCAACTCATTAATAGTAGGGGACTTTAATACCACACTGTCTCCATTAGATAGGTCAACAGGGCAGACAGTTAACAGAGAGACATCTGAATTAAACAATACCATATATCAAATGGACTTAACAGACATCTACAGAGTATTTCACCTAAGCACCAAAGGACATAGTTTCTACTCAGCATCTCATGGAACCTTCTCCAAAACCGACCATGTACTGGGGCACAAAACAAACCTCAACAAACACAAAAAGACTGAAATAATTCCATGCATTCTATCAAGCCACAATGCAATAAAGCTTACAATCAACACAAGAAGAAGCCCTAATCACCACATGAACACAAGGAGATTAAACAACACACTCCTAAATGATGAATGGGTCAAAAGAGAAATTAAGAAACAAAGTATTCCTAGAACTAAATGAAAAGGACAATACAACACAAAAAAAACCTCTGGGACATGTTGAAAGCTGTCCTTAGTGGGAAGTTTATAGCTCTAAGTGCCTACATCAAAAAATCAGAAAGAACACAAATAAATGACTTAACACTGCAACTCAAGACACTTGAAAAGCAACAACAAATGAAACCCAAACCCAGCAGACAAGAAGAAATAACAAAAATTAGGGCAGAAATTAACAAAACTGGAACAAAGAAAACAATACAAAGAATCAACAAATCCAAGAGCTGGTTCTT